ATACATTTTTGGTTTTGTACGGCGTTATGGCCAGACCAGCTGATGGCATTCCACTTTGCGTTTCTTTCTTCAACACACCGTGTCGCCAGAAATACAAGTGTTGCGTCGGCAGCCTCAAAGCGTGCGGTAGCTGTTGATGCGTGAGAGCCAGTCTGTCACCGACGCTGAGAACTAAACGCAACCTCCAGCACCACTTGGCGGGTGGTTTATTTGGCCCGAGAACTTGCACTTGTACTACATTGTACCACCCGTCATGAATCAGGTACACGATTTTGCCAAATCAACATGCTGCTCACGCTTCACATATTGATTTGGTAAGTTTCAGACTAGCTCACCCGAGGCAGCGCAATAGTCGCACGCATGTCGCCAATTTCTAGTCGTATGTGCGGAAGGATGGAAACAATATCAGAACCCATCGTGCGAATGCCAGTCAAGCATCAAATAAACCAATCAAACGTTATGGTTTACATGTTTGGGGCCAGTTTGTGCGTGTTGCGTCCCATCAATGTTTCATCATTTCAACGTTTCATCATTGGTGGCGCAGGATTTCGCCCAAGCTACATATGAGAAATACTATTGACTTGGTGAAGAAACTGCTGGCCCCGCAAAAAAGGCAGCGTCTGATGTGGCAGGCAGACGCTGGGCCACGGAGCTTGAGTCACATGCAATGTTTCATCACACCCGCTGTCTACCTTGCGCTCGGCAATGCGCATTGCTTGCGTAATGCAACAATGTGGTGTCAACTGCCAACCAGGTTTCCGCCAGGCAAGCATTTTGAAACAACAAACCACACTGACACTTTGCATCTGCGCAATGATTTGTTTGTCCGGAGGACTGAACACTGCACCCAGTGGTGGTTGGTTTAAGCCAAATATGTTGCCGTGATTTACTCATCTTAGGCCTTGGGATTTTTGCCTCAGCTATCTAGTGTCGCTGTCAGTTCAACTTCAGCTAGTGATGGCTGGCGTGTCATCTGATGACTCATACCTGCAGAATCATGTGATTTGAACGATGCTGCCGTGCTGTACAAGGGCCAGTCAAAATTTCGCATCTCGCAAGCTACTACTTGTGTCGTCAATCGGCAGGTGGTTTCCACCCAATTATAGACAGCTGTTTGTTGCGCGCCGGCTCACACGGGGCAACATCTAGCGCATGAGCTACTGCAAGCGGAAAGGCGGCAAGCTTCAAAAACCAAACACTCATGGCCCATCTCAGGATCGTCAAATTACCGGTGCACTAATTCACTGATTCGCAGATCCGATTCGCACGCAGTCGGGTAGTGTTCCTGGGTTGCCTGAGTCCGAATCCGCGTCCGCAATCTACAGCTACGGGAAAACCTTCGCCGCGCCCTACGGCCCTATATTGTTAGTCATCGTGATTCATGCGACTCATGATGTTGAGCACAATGGGACTGGCCGACCGGAACCATGCGGTGGCCCCTTCCAAGGTAATGCTGGGCTACCTGCGACACCCAAAAGGAAACAAGATTGCTTGCGCGCCAGACGCTCGAGTTTGTTTGATGTGAGGCATGAGCCACGAGTCATGTCACGAGTCATGTCACGAGTGACACTGACACTGGTCATGGACCAATCGGTGCGACGCAGGTCAAGTAGCTATACATTACATCATGACTTTGCTTGCGGCGATCTCGCAAAGTTAGTTTGTTTAAAGTTCACTCTGTCAACCGTCAAGAGTCAAAAGTGAAGTTTCCAGTTAAAGTTGAAATGAAGGTGGCACCAGTCAACTATTGCGTTCCCACATGTTCACAGGTGCTTCTCTCAGCCTCTCAGATCTCGCACGCGTACACCCGGTGCACCATAGGAGGCACCGCGGTGCTTCTGGCAAGCCACCAAAGGAAAGGGCCCCCCGAACACCAGGGCTTGTTGCAGAAGGGCGGTAAAAGAGTGGCAGTGACTGACATTGAGACTGACATCATCCTCAGGAATCGGCGGGCTTGTGCCCGGAACAATCGTGGCCAACTTCATAGACACACGCTGCTTAAGCTGCTTAACTGACTGGGGCCTGAACGCACAGTGCGCAAGCTTCCTATTTGACCATATTTGGCCAGCGCAGAGGCTTGCGGGCGCGTGTCAAACTCATATCAATCCGATCCTGATCTGATGTCCAAAGACAAACTGGGCCAAAACTGCTATTGGCGCTGAGGGTGAGTCAGGCTCATGATTGATCCATCACGCGACGATTCCTGATTCATGTCTTTTCTTCCTGACTCATGGCTGATATAGAAATAACCTGCTACGGCCACAAATTGCCAAAATGCAAATATACTCTGATGAGATGATGACACTCATGGGTGGAGCAGCCCCAACTTGTGACTTGCTTGACTCATTCGACTTGCGCTTGCAACTGGTAATGCTGGTTGGAACCTGCAACTTGAAACACATGTCACTCCATCTTTGGATGAGTTTTGCTAGGAGCAACCTTGAACTTGCAACACCTTAAGTGTGGATCCTGGGCAATTTTTCGTCGATCACCAGTGGTCGACTTCTTCTGTCTTTGAGCTCGAGCGATGCCCTCATCTTGCGTCGGTCTTGTTACTGTTTGCGTATAGCGCCGGCTCCGACCAACTCTTCAAAACCAAGCAAACGCCCTGAACCAGCTTGAGACTCTTGGATTCGCGCGCGCCGCCGCTCACTGCTCGCGCGTCGCTGGCTCGTTGCACGCTCGCCGCGCGCATTCCGCGCGTGCCGCCGCGCACCGCTCGCGCGCTGCTCGCTCATTGCGCGCTCACCGCGCGCGCGCCGCGCGCACGCCGCGCGCACGCCGCGCGTACACTGCGCAAAGCGCGCGCGCGTGACCGCGCGCCCTCGCCGCTACTGTTTTTTAAGGCCTGTCATAGCATGACTCTCGGGTTTAGATAAAACAAAACATAGGCTCCCCAGGGGTCCGGGCCCAAAAACGAGGGTTCCTCCAAGACACGTGGAGATTCGGCGGGTTTCTTGGACAAAATTCGTTGTTCGTCCTGTTTGACAACTTGTTTTTGTGAGTGGACCTGTTTTCAACTGCATCCGCCATGCTTTTGCATTCAGCTTTTGGAGCCGAATCAGCCCGGACTGGGAAGATGGTTTTGCTTCGTTGAGGCAGGGAGGGATACCAATCGGTTGACATAGAGTATTCTTTACTGCTTGAGGCCAGTACATCCTCAAGATGATGCTTCAGGAGGGCAGCTGGAGGTGTCGCTTCTTGCCGCTTTCTTCGGGGGGTATGGCTTCCAGTGGCAAGATGCCCATGAGATGCACAGGCTGTGTTTCGCTGCCCCCTTGTCAAGTCTTGTTGGTTCGTTCAGACTTGGGGGCGGCGACAGAAACAACGTGTTTATGAGCACATCGTTGAGCAGCTATGGCAGCCCGAAAAAGATCCACACCCCCGTTGCAGCCGACATGACCAGAACTGACTGGCAATGCCACTCTTCCAAATGCTTGGACAACGCATCTGCAGGCCCCTGCTTTGTGCAAATCTCTTGTGTCAAGCTCAGTGCGTGCGAGCGTAGCGTATCCCCATGGTCTGAATGCTGGATACTGTGCAAGAAAGAAGCAGGGAGCCATGTGGTTTGTTTGAAGCCTGCACGGGCTTGGGGTGTGCTCCGGATGTTCAAGACTTGAGTTGGCAAGCTGCAGCGTAGGGTGGGGCTTGGGATATGGCTGGATAGCAAGGCTGCGGAAAAGTCAGGAGGGCGAGCTGGATACCGTCACCGCCGACGCGGAAAACATCACCCTGAGAGTGCGACGAGGCGTTGGCCGCGCTGGATGCGGAGTGTACCGGGCCGAAGACGCAGCTTGAAAACTTGAGGAGGGATCATGGGCAGAACATGGCAGAACAAGTCATACGAGTAATGTTCAAGCATGGTGGGTGCAAAAAAGGCCCGGAGACCCTAGTTTGCTCGAAGGTGCCTTGCCAGAGCTACTTCGTGTGCCGCAGGCCTGGAGAACAGATCAGGTCGGAATCAACCCTTGGATGATCAATAGGGCGTGTCCCAAATGGAATCTTTCACCCGAAACAACTCTCTATTGATCCAAGTGGATTAATCTGCCTCTCTCTCGCCGGCTCGGGGGTCACAACTTGCGAGGTTCTTTGGACATCGCTTTCGGTGTTTGATTCGTTTGTCCAGATTTCTCCGCCCCGAAATCCCACGGCCCTCTTCACGCCAGGCGAAGAAGGCCGAAGTGGACCTTTCAGAAGCCCAGTGGCAACTGGTTGTGCGTCAAAAGCAATGGGATCCTATTTTGGGGTAGGTGCACCACCCATTTTAGTCCATTTTAGTGGGGATTGGGATGTTCACTGGGGGTACGGGCTTTTGCCCCACAGCCAACTGGCGCCAATGTGTTGCTGTGCTTGTTTTCAAAGGTCTGCGCATCGGTTTGACTTGTATCCCCTTAAAGTGGTGCCTCGGACTATAGTTGAGATTGGCACCCCATGGTTCTCGAGCCAAATCACCATTTGAAACCAAGGAGGCTGATAGAAAGGCTTGAATTGAAGTGTCCGTTTTCCCCTTTGGCCACTGGGCAAGCGAGGAAGGCGTTCCTTTTCTAGCGGCTCTCTACCACGAGGCGCGGCCCTTATGAGCGAGCTCAAGTCTTGCAAGAGACAGGGCTTGCTCTAGTGTGACATTTGATGTTTGTTCTCGGTAGGGAAAAGGGGATGATTTCTTTACCAACCAATCCGTGGATTATCGCGGCCTTTGTCCTTTTTCGGTTCGATAGGTGCCCCACTACAGTGATGAACCCCCAAAAGTTTGCCCTTTTTCTATCCTGGTCGGGCAACTGGGGCTTCTCGTGCGGAATGGTCGGAATAGTCTCGATATTCTCTTCAATCAACAAGTTAGTTTGACTTGCCGAGCTTCTAAGCTCCGTAGCTTTATTAAAACCAACAGGCGGTACACCTCTCACCCCGGATGTGAGTTGGGCCACGTTTGGCCGCTCGAACTTTCACAGGTTTTCAGGCAGAGTTGGCCGAAAGCTTGAGATGCCTGTGCTTTTCGCGCG